GATACGCTTTGGAAATACAACACTTAATCCCCAATTTACGCATAGAATATAAATCTGGGTCACTTCACAAGAACAGCGACTGTATGTCAAGACTTCCGATAATAAAACAAGAGTTAATCGATAGTAAAGCCATTAAGCCGTCAAAATCTAAATTTACTTCACTAGCATTATGCAAGTCTAAGGAATGTATTTTAAACGATATGGAGCGTGCAAGAGAGGAAATAATGCATTTCTCGAGTATCAAATCGTTTGAGGATTTTGGTTGGGAATTCACTCTAAACAGTTTAACAAATGTCCAAACGGTTAAAATACGTAATAATCAAATAACAGAGTCTAACGCTCAGGAATTAATAAACACCCGCGAAGAACAGCTAAAGGATTCTTGGACTCGGTCTCTCATCGAATCATTGGAAAGAAACGAATTAGAAACACAAAAAAGACATGTACTTATTGATGGATGCGTTTACCGAATATTTTACTTTGAGGGACACCCTGTTTACTTGCTTTGCCTACCAAAACACTTGAGAGAATTAGTTCTTTCCGATTTACACGGATCACTAACATCTGGACATATGGGAAGAGATCGCACTATGAGTGAAGTTTACCGTCGATTCTATTGGCCAGAAAGAAAAAAAGATGTGGATAAATTCGTAAGAAGCTGTAATTGTTGCCAACGACGCAAACATGAGACAACATATCCGAGAGGATTACTACATTCGATCTCAATTGAACACCCAATGGATCTCATAGGCATGGATCTGGTCGGACCGTTACCCCGTAGCAATGACTATCGTTATCTCATTGTTGCCGTCGACTATGCTACACGATTTGTAATTCTGGGAAAAATCAAAGATAGGCAACCACAAGGAATAGCTGAGTTCTTTATAAAACAAATTTGTTTAAGATTTGGCTGTCCAACGCGTATATTGACTGACCAGGCAAGGGAATTAATATCGCAAGCAATGGAAGTCGTGTTTCAAAGCTTTCAAACACAACATAGTCTCTGTGCTCCTTATAAGCCATCAACACAAGGACTAGTGGAGAGAACAAACAGGACGATAATAAATTCTCTCTCATTATACTGTCACAGCAATCAAGAAAACTGGTCATCGGTTATTCCGTACATAGAGTTTGCAATCAACGCATCCACTCAATCTTCTACTGGAAAATCCCCATTTTATTTAATGCATGGTTTTCACGTTCGTAAACCCATAGATGTTGCCTTTGGTTTACCATTCGACAGCCCAAAGCAAACAACTGGCGATTATTTAGCCGACGCCAGGGAAGTTGCCCGAGAGTTTCTAAAGTCCGCTCAGGACAAACAAAAATTCTATTACGATCAAAAACGAAGTCCACAACTTTTCACTATCGGAGACACGGTTGGACGATACAAACTTTTACGACACAAGGGGGTAAACACTAAAATGCAGTTAAAATATTTCGGACCATATAAAGTGGTCAAAATACACGGTGACCCACCAAACAACTATACTATTGAAAGTCTTTCAGACCCAAGGGAAAGATCTAAAGTCCCTATAGAACAACTTAAATTATGGTATTTAAGAGACCCTATCGAAACAGAATATTTTGAGGATAATAATAGCCCAAGTATCAGCGATATCTCACATGAAACCAATGATGTTTCATGTTCGCAAATCAGTCTGCGTACTGATAGTAATAATAATACAGGGAAAACTTATGAGATCCCTGACAAAGGAGTGGTCGTCTGCGAACTTCCACAGTCCGTTACTTCTTTGACAGTGGGAAATGAAGATATCATTTCGCCGGCTGTTGTATCGACGTCGTCAAACCAATGAAGAGGAGGAGTTCTACATTGGCGGTTTTGAAGTTCTACGCGTAGAATATTTAGACTCGCTTTGATTACTCTCTTAGTGATCAATACGACTTTAAATGTTTATTTTAAGTATAACTTGAACTTATTTATCTGCTTTAATTATTGTAGCATTTTAAACGTTTGATGTTTACTATTATCTTATTGTTGTTTTAATTTGTGTTGTTTTAAGCATTCTAAAATACCAAAAAAATATAAAACTTGAATGTAATTGATCGGGGACCGATCCACGGTCAGGATGCCGATAAAATAGTCATTAAAAATAGTTTCTATTTTTAACAAACTATTTTAACGAAAACAATTTTAGTATACATGTATAACACACACACACACATACAGCATACCATTCCTTGAATGGTATTGTTATGTGTACTGTGAGTGAAACTCCACCCGTACTGATCGTCCAACAAAACTGTTGGGATCAGGAGTTCCCGATCGAGTAGAGGATTAGCAGTGTTGTTGTAAACATGAAATGATATGTAAAAATCTAGTATGAAATAAAAGTTAATAAATAAATTGTATGTAGAATATATGTGTCATTATTATTACTATTAATTTTGTTTGAAATTAAATAAAAATCAATTACAACTGAAGAAGCGATTCCAACTGAAGAGATATCAACAGTTGAAGACACGATAACTATCACTGAATTGATCCCAACGGGACTGCAGTCGACATAATCAGTAAGAAAAAGATTATTAAACCAAAGAGAAAATCAATTACAACTGAAGAAGCGATTCCAACTGAAGAGATATCAACAGTTGAAGACACGATAACTATCACTGAATTGATCCCAACGGGACTGCAGTCGACATAATCAGTAAGAAAAAGATTATTAAACCAAAGAGAAAATCAATTACAACTGAAGAAGCGATTCCAACTGAAGAGATATCAACAGTTGAAGACACGATAACTATCACTGAATTGATCCCAACGGGACTGCAGTCGACATAATCAGTAAGAAAAAGATTATTAAACCAAAGAGAAAATCAATTACAACTGAAGAAGCGATTCCAACTGAAGAGATACCAACAGTTGAAGACACGATAACTATCACTGAATTGATCCCAACAGGACTGCAGTCGACATAATTAAGATAACAACAGTTGAAGATACTACAGCTGTCACCGAATCAGTTCCACAACAAACTGCGGAAACTACTCAATAGCTATCGTGTCAATACAAAGTCGGTCAATAATTACCGTCGGTAAAAGTGAGTTGACTATTTAATAGTAGTATACACTGAACTATGTATTGATAAATAATTTCTATCTAAGTAGTATACACTGAACTATGTATTGATAAATAATTTCTATCTAAGTAGTATACACTGAACTATGTATTGATAAATAATTTCTATCTAAGTAGTATACACTGAACTATGTATTGATAAATAATTTCTATCTAAGTAGTATACACTGAACTATGTATTGATAAATAATTTCTATCTAAGTAGTATACACTGAACTATGTATTGATAAATAATTTCTATCTAAGTAGTATACACTGAACTATGTATTGATAAATAATTTCTATCTAAGTAGTATACACTGAACTATGTATTGATAAATAATTTCTATCTAAGTAGTATACACTGAACTATGTAGTGATAAATAATTTTATCTAATAAGTAGTTGCAACGGGTTGTAACACCCAATGAATACTACTAGTATTACTAGACCGTTACAATATATATATATATATATATATTAATTAATTTATATTTTTATCAAACAATTTTTGTTTGTTTGGTTAGATATTTATTTATCTATAATTATTTAATTCACATATGACATTTTGATAAATATAGTAAAAATAATATTTAAAAAAAATTAATATCATTAAAATTTTGTTTAATATCATTTAACAATATTTAATTTTTTAAAATCCTACTTTAATTAGATTAAAAATATGATCTAAACAAATATTTTACTTGAATTTTAATTTTTTAAAAATAAACAAATAAAATTTAAATAGTATGTTTAATATTATTTTTCTCTACTAATTAATTAACTAATTTATTAATTAAAAAAAATATCTATAATAAAACAAATTAAAAAAATTACAGTTTATTAATAAAGTCAAATAATTGAATGTAATTAAAAATATAATAAATTATATAATGTTTATTTACAAAAAAATAAATAAATTACTATACTTTAGTGACTATTGTAATTTTCTTTATTAAATAATTTGTTTGATTTTTTTAAAGTTAAAAAAGTCATTATATTTATATATATTATTTAATAGTTGATAACAATTATTGAATTATAATAATGAAAAAAAAACTATTGCACTGTTAGTCGGAAAAAAAATAGTTTACATAATATTTTTTTTTAATACAATATAATATATCTAAATATTAATTGTATTTAAATTAAGTTTATTTAATTACAATACAATTTTAAATACAATATATCTTGTATTTATTTATATTACATTATTATATATATATATTATACTAATATTTTACACTTAAGTTTAAGTAAATAAAATTAAAACTTTTATTAATAATTTTTAAAAAATGTACTTAAAATACACTTAAATTTACTGTAAGTGCAAAACGATAATATTTTAAGTGTATTTACACATACATTATATGCCATATATTAGTAATATATTAGTAATATATTAGTAATTATTATTATTATGCAATATTTGTTACAAACTAAACATTTTTTTGAAAAAATAATAATGTATTTATTGATAATAAATACATAAATAATATATTGTATAATTTTTTTTAAAAAAAATAAAATCATCAATAGATTGATTGTAATTAATAGTCAAAAATAAATAAATAAAACTTTATATATTATTTCATATTAAAGAGTGCAATACATAAAGTGTATAATAAATAATAATAATAATATAAAATCAAAAAGTGTATATAAGGTCAACATTGAAAACTTATTTATATAGTATATAAATACATATTGATATATAAAGTTATATATACAATATATAAATTAGTTATTAAAAATAGTTTTTTATTTTAAAAAAAAAACAAATTAATAATAATAATAATTAATTTTAGTTTACTATAAACATAAAAGTTTTTATTAATAAAAATAATAAACTAATTTATGATAATTAAATATTTTAGTAAAAAGTTATAATAATATTAATTATTAATTATTAGTTAGTTATGTCTAAATCAGTGTCCAAACTGTTTGAACCGTTGACCATCCGGGGACAGGTATTGAAGAATCGTATCGGCGTATCACCGATGGTCACCTGGATAGCCGACCCATTGGATGGCCAGGCCAATGATTTTCACCATGCTCACTATGGCCAGTTTGCATTGGGCGGTGCGGGTCTGGTCGTACTGGAAGCTACTGCTGTGGAACCCCGGGGTCGGGTAACGCCCAGTGATCTGGGTATATGGAGTGACCATCAGGTGGACGGCCTGAGCCGTATAGCCAGGTTTCTCACGGGTCAGGGATCACTGCCGGGCATACAGTTGGCACACTCTGGCCGTAAAGGTAGTACATCGGTCGTGTCGCGTAGTAGTCAATCGTTGGCCATTGGTAACGGTGGTGGTGGTTGGCCTACAATAGCTCCCAGTGCTATACCGTTTGGTGCCGGTATTAGTCAGGTGCCCATTGAAGCAACTGTCGATGATTTGCTAACTATTAGGCAGTCGTTTGTTTTGGCAGCTGTCAGGGCTGTTAGGGCCGGCTTTCAGGTTAGTTATTGAAAAAAACAATAATAATAATAATTAAAAGTATTTTTTTTTAACTAAATATAGTTTTAAAAAATGTATTAATTATTTGATTTAAACAATTGTTTTCCAGTATATTATATGAATACTATACTGTAGTATAGTTTGAGTACTATTTTTAGATTCATTAATTTATAGATGATTTTTTTCAACAACAAAAAAATCAATCAATTATAATATAATTTTTTTTTTTGCTTTTTATTAAATTAGTATTAATTTTTTATTTGTTTAGACTTGAAATATTACAGTTTTTTTAAAAAAAAAATAATAACAATAGACATTTAGTTAGTAAAGTAAACAAAACAAAAATTAATTAATTAAATACTTTATTTTTTTTCTCTCTCTCTCACTCTTTAATACATAAAAATATTTATTAAAACTTATTATTATAAAAAAAAATAAAACTAAATAATTAATTAATATCTACTTAACTAAATAATATTAAAAAAAATATATTATTTATATTATTATTATTTTTATATAGTTAATTGAATTACACTATGCCCATGGTTATTTAGTTAATCAATTTCTATCGCCACTAACCAATCGGCGTACCGATCATTACGGCGGTTCACTTGACAATCGTATGCGTCTGGGACTGGAAATTGCTGCCGATGTCCGCCAGGCTATACCCGATAACCTGATACTAGCGGTTCGGATATCGTTTACCGATTACGTGGACAGTGGTTGGGATTTATCGCAATCTATCGAGTTTTCCAAACAACTCAAACAACTCGGTGTCGATTTACTGGATGTTAGCTCCGGTGGTGTAGTCAGCGGTGTCGACTACTCGGCCTTTAATACACCCGATCGACAACACCGGGCATCTGAGGCCATACAACGTGAAGCCGATATCCGGACGACAGCTGTCGGCAAAATTATTGATCCCTTGTTGGCTGAAAAACTATTACAGTCTAACTGTGCAACCATTGTATTGATTGGCCGGGCATTTCTCAATGACCCGCACTGGCCCTACACGGCAGCCGATAAACTCAATGGCCAGTCGTTTAAATATCCCGATCCGTATGACTGGTGTATCGGTTGGAAAGCAATGAATAAATGGCGTAAAGATTTATATAGCAATCAAAACGATAGTAATAATAATAATAATAATTGTTTTCAAAATACAAACTAAATTAATATTGATATAAATTATTTAAATAAAATAAAACATTTATTTTGAATAATAAATGTTTAATAATTAAATTTTTTTAACTAAAGCTATTGTTGTTAAGTAATTAGATTTTTCTAATAATTTGTTTTTTTTTAATAATCTAATAAACATTTTATTTTAAATGTTATTAATTACTTAATATAAAATTAATATTAGAAATAATAATTAAGCATATTTTTTTGCTAATTAAATTTATTTATTATATTTTTAAAAAAAATATATTTATAAATTTATAAATAAATAATTATATATATATATATATTAATTATTAAATTAATTAAAAACTTGTAGTGTGTATTGTAATTTTAATAAAAATATTATGTAAACTATTTTTTCCTGACTAACAGTGAGAGTAGTGTTTTACGGTTTTCAGAAAAAAAAGTATTATTATTATTATTATTATTTGACAAAATGATAATTGAATTTATTTTCAAAAATATCATTGAATTGCAGTATTGAACAGTAATAACGATTTATTTAAACAATAAAAATCAAGTATAATATTATAATATAATAGATTTTGTAATTAAATTTATTAAAAAACTAATTTTATTATTTTAAAAAAAATATAAACTTATTTTTTTAATTAGTAAATGTGTTGTAAATTAATAATTTTTAATATATATATATTTTTTGTTTAATTAAAAAATCAACTTGCAAACTTTATTTTTTTAAAATAATAATAATAATAAATTATTTTAGTTTACTAAAAAAAAAGTTTTAATAATAATAATTACAATTATAATAATATTATTATTATTATTATTATTATTATTATTATTATTATTATTATTATTATTAGTTATGTCTAAATCAGTGTCCAAACTGTTTGAACCGTTGACCATCCGGGGACAGGTACTGAAAAATCGTATCGGCGTATCACCGATGATCATCTTCATGGCCGACCCAATGGATGGCCAGGCCAATGATTTTCATTTGGCACACTATGGCCAGTTTGCATTGGGCGGGGCCGGGCTAGTCGTACTGGAATCTACTGCTGTGGAAGCCAGGGGTCGGATAACGCCCAGTGATCTGGGAATATGGAGTGACCATCAGGTAGACGGCCTGAGCCGTATAGCCAAGTTTCTCACGGGTCAGGGATCACTGCCGGGCATACAGTTGGCACACTCTGGCCGTAAAGGTAGTACATCGGTCGAGTCCGTTAGTAGTCAATCGCTGGCCATTGGTGATGGTGGTGGTTGGCCTACAATAGCTCCCAGTGCTATACCGTTTGGTGCCGGTATTAGTCAGGTTCCCACCGAAGCAACTGTCGATGATTTGCTTACTATTAGGCAGTCGTTTGTTTTGGCAGCTGTCAGGGCTGTCAGGGCCGGCTTTCAGGTTAGTTATGCAAAACTATCATAAATTATATTAATTAATTTTTTCAATTAATAAAATATACTTAAATAAAAATTATTAATAATTTAGTAATAATTTTTTTTAATTTAGTAAAAAATATATATAAATTTTTATTAATAATTTAAAAATTAATACTAGTTTTAGTAAATATTTAGATTTGATAATAGATTTTAATAGATTGATAAAAAAATTGTATTAAATAAAATAAAATTTACAATTTAATTTACTTAATAAAAAAAATTACTTTTAGTGAAATATAATAAAATTAAAACTACAAAACAAATTCATACTGTAGTTTACTTAATCAATTAAAAATTAAAATATTATAATAAAAAAATAATTATAAATATATATTCAAATAAAAAAAAAACTACATAATTATTATAAATACTTGTTAATAATTTTAATTTTTGACTAAATGCGTTAATAAATTAGTAAACAAAACTATCATATATTATATTAAATAATTTTTTTAAATCAAAAAATATACTTAATTAAAAATTATTGAAAAAAATAAATTATAATTTATAAAATTATTATTATTTTACAGTTAATTGAATTACACTATGGCCATGGTTATTTAGTTAATCAATTTCTATCGCCAGTGACCAACCGGCGTACCGACCATTACGGCGGATCACTTGACAATCATATGCGTCTGGGACTGGAAATTGTTGCCGATGTCCGCCAGGCTATACCCGATAACATCATACTAGCGGTTCGGATATCGTTTACCGATTACGCCGATAATGGTTGGGATTTGCGACAGTCTATCGAGTTTTCCAAACAACTCAAACAACTCGGTGTCGATTTACTGGATGTTAGCTCAGGTGGTGTAGTCAGTGGTGTCAACTACTCGATCATTAATACACCCGATCGACAACACCGGGCATCGGAGGCCATACAACGTGAAGCCGGTATCCGGACGACAGTTGTCGGCAAAATTGTTGATCCCTTGTTAGCAGAAAAACTATTACAGACTAACAGTGCAACCATTGTATTGATTGGCCGGGCATTTCTCAATGACCCGCACTGGCCCTACTCGGCAGCCGATAAACTCAACGACAACCAGTCGTTTAAATATCCCGATCCGTATGACTGGTGTATCGGTTGGAAAGCAATGTATAAATGGCGTCAAGATTTATATACCAATCAAAATGATGATAATAATTGATTAATAAAAATATTAACTAAATTAATATTGATATAAATTATTTAAATAAAATAAAAACATTTATTTTGAAATTTTACTAATAATTTGTTTTTTTTTTATAATCTAATAAACATTTTATTTTAAATATTATTAATTACATAATATAATATTAATATTAGAAATAACAATTAAGCATAATTTCTTTTACCAATTAAATTTATTTATTAATTTATCTTATTTGTACTTAAAATATCATAAATATATAGATTAAAGTTTATAATTATTATTTTTTTAAAAATTCAATACAATTTCAAAAAAAAAATATTTATAAATTTATAAATAAATAAATAATTATATATATATTTATATATTAATTATTAAACTAATTAAAAACTTTATGTGTGTGTGTTTGTGTATTATAATTTTAAAAAACATTATGTAAACTATTTTTTCCTGACTAACAGTGAGAGTAGTGTTTTACGGTTTTTTAGAAATTAATTAATTTAATTAATCATTGAATTGCAGGAACAATAAAAATCAAGTATAATATTATTTATAATAGATTTTTTTTTTAATTAAATTTATTCAAAACTAATTTATTATTAAAAAAAAATATAAACTTATTTTTTATTATTAGTAAATGTGTTGTAAATTAATAATTTTTAATGTATACGATATATATACTGTATATATATATATATATATTGTTTAATTAAAAAATCAACTTTTTTTTTAATTATAATTATTATTAGTTATGTCTAAATCCGTGTCCAAACTGTTTGAACCGTTGACCATCCGGGGACAGGTATTGAAAAATCGTATCGGCGTATCACCGATGGTCACCTGGATGGCCGATTCGGATGGCCAGGCTACCGATTTTCATTTGGCACATTACGGCCAGTTTGCATTGGGTGGTGCAGGTCTAGTCGTACTGGAATCTACTGCTGTGGAAGCCAGGGGTCGGATAACGCCCAGTGATCTGGGAATATGGAGTGACCATCAGGTGGACGGCCTGAGCCGTATAGCCAGGTTTCTCAGCGGACAGGGATCACTGCCGGGCATACAGTTGGCACACTCTGGCCGTAAAGGTAGTACATCGGCCGAATCGCTTAGTAGTCAATCGTTGGCCATTGGTGATGGTAGTGGTGGTTGGCCTACAATAGCTCCCAGTGCTATACCGTTTGGTGCCGGTATTAGTCAGGTGCCCATTGAAGCAACTGTCGATGATTTGCTAACTATTAGGCAGTCGTTTGTTTTGGCAGCTGTCAGGGCTGTTAGGGCCGGCTTTCAGGTTAGTTATTGAAAAACAATAATAATAATAATAATATTTTAAAGTTTTTTTTAACTAAATAAACTACTTATTAATAATTTTTATTAAATTTTAATTGTTTATATATATATATATATATATTCATAACAATAATAAATATTTTTATAAGTTTCTTAAATATTTAAATATTTTAAGTAAACAAAACTATCATAAATTATATTAAATAATTTTTTTAATTAAAGAATTTTTATACTTAATTAAAAAATTATTCAAAGAGTATATATATAATAATTTATTAAATTATTATTATTATTATTATTATTATTACAGTTAATTGAATTACACTATGGCCATGGTTATTTAGTAAATCAATTTCTATCGCCAGTGACCAACCGGCGTACCGACCAATACGGCGGTTCACTTGACAATCGTATGCGTCTGGGACTGGAAATTGTTGCCGATGTCCGCCAGGCTATACCCGATAACATCATACTAGCGGTTCGGATATCGTTTAGCGATTACGCCGATAATGGCTGGGATTTGCGACAGTCTATCGATTTATCCAAACAACTCAAACAACTCGGTGTCGATTTACTGGATGTCAGCTCCGGCGGTGTTGTCAGTGGTGTCAACTACTCGGCCATTAATACACCCGATCAACAGCACCGGGCATCCGATGCAATACAACGTGAAGCCGGTATCCGGACGACAGTTGTCGGCAAAATTATTGATCCCGTGTTGGCTGAAAAACTATTACAGTCTAACTGTGCAACCATTGTATTGATTGGCCGGGCATTTCTCAATGACCCGCACTGGCCCTACAAGGCAGCCGATATACTCAATGGCCAGTCGTTTAAATATCCCCAATCCTATGACTGGTGTATCGGTTGGAAAGCAATGTATAAATGGCGTCAAGATTTATATACCGATCAAAATGATGATAATAGTTGATTTTTAAAAACATTAACTAAATTTTAAATTGATATAAATTATTTATATTTAAAATAAATATAAAAATTTAAATAAAAATAAAACATTTATTATAATAATAATAATAATAATAAAAGTTTAATAATTTTTTTATATAATAAACAATACATTTTGTTTTCTTAAAATTTTAGTCTAAAATTTTAGATTTAATTAATGGTATAGTTTATAATAATTATTATTATTAAATTAACTATAGGACGACCTATAATCCAATAATTTTATTAACAATAATTTAATAAAATCATATATTTTTTATAATTATGATTTTACAGTTTTTAAAAATTAAAATAAGTAAATAATTTAAAATAAATAAATAATTTACCGATGATTAATCATTATAATTAAATATTTCAATTTACAATACAATAACATTATTAAAAAAATATTATTTTATTAATATTATTATTATTTTATAAAATAGTAAATTGAATTATAATATGTTCATGGTTATTTTTGTATATATATGATATATATTGATTATCTGTGTTTATTGTTTTTGTATTTTTAATTCAATAATAATACTAATTATTATTGATTACTAATATCTATAAATATTTAATAAATTTAGATTATAATATTGTTTTTTTTGATAACATGTTTAATAGATTACAACAAATATTATTCAAAAAAAGTGATAAAAAATATTAAATATATTGAAATTTTTTTGGTATAACAAAAAATAGTTTTTTTTGTAAATTAATTTATTATAAAATATTTATGATATTATTTTTTTATGATCTATATATATAACTATATATCACTTATAAATATTTATATAATTAATAAACTAATTATTGTTGTCTAATATTATTTTATATTGAAATACTTTTATCTTATTTTTGTTTTATGTTTTCATAATAATAATAATAAGGTTTACTGTTTAATATATGATAATTGTTTAATTAATTTTTGATAATTAGCTAAAGTAATTAGATTTTTAGCTTTTTTAATAAAGCTATTAATGTTAAGTCTATTAAATTTTTCTTATAAATTGTTTTTTTTATAATCTAACAATCATTTAGTTTCACTTACAGTATTATTAATCACTTAATTTATATATAAATTATTAAAAAAAACATAATTAATATAATATTATAATATTTGAAATAACAATTAAGCATAATTTTTTGCTAATTGAATTTATTTATTAAAATTTCAATCTCAATTTGTAGTTAAAATATCATATATATATATATATATAGATAAATCAAAGTTTATTATTATATTTTTTAAAAAATATATATATTTATAAATTTATAAAAATGAATAATATAAATTTTTATCAGCTTGGTAAGATAACTGAATATTTAGCAAATAATTATGAAAATAATTTATTTACAAGAAAATATGTTGAAAATATTAATCTAACTGTTATTGAATGCAATAATTATAATACATATAATGTTAATAATAGTTTAATAATATTAAATAAATTTTATGAATTCAATAAATCAGCTAACATATTTTATGCTGGAATAAATATTAATGAGGTATATATAATAATAATAAGTTATAATTAATAATTACTAAATTAAATAATTCATTGTTAATTTAAATAACTATTTTTAATTATTTTTTTCAAATATTATTTTCTATAGTATATAAATATAGAGTCAATATAATAGTAATAATACTAAATATGTTATATTTTATTATTAAAATAATTTATTAATATTAAATAAATATTTTTTTGAAAAAAATATAATAAAATATTTATTTAATTTACCTAGTGGACTCTTTTTAAAGTTGATACAATTGCTGATGACAACAATAACAACACTATGCCTAGGATATTTTATTCAGGATCATCTAGCTTAAAAATATTACATGAACTAGCTAGACAATTAAATTATAAGTATATATAGATAAATTAATTAATTAATTAATATTTTTTCTATCATATATAATTTAAATATTTTGATTTTATCAATAATCAATTAATTAGAATATTTATTTTTTATTTTTTATTATGTAAATTTAGTGTTATTATAGAAATAGAAAAATTATTAACTAATTAATTATTTAAACTATTCATATTGTAACGTCCTGCGTCGCTACTTCGACGTAAGGGTGAATCGGCTTTAAGTCGCCAGTGTCGTAGGCACCATGTAGATCTCGCACCGACCTGTATTTGTAATATTCGCTCGCTTTCGCTCGCTTTCGCTCGCCAGCGCTATGCAGACTTTACGACTCTGCATCTTACGATTCCCCAACGCTGCACTAGGTCACCCTGCGGTGGCTACTCTACGACGCCGTAGCCTGACCGTGGCCGATCCTAACCATACCCATGAAGTACGTAACGTTAACTCGTCTACTCGGATTGTCGTCTATGAAGTTTGTCTGTCTAGGGGTTAATCGCATCGCGAAGTTATACGTTGTCTAGGGGTTGTTGTATCGCGTAGTCATAAGTTGTCTAGGGGTTCTCGACGGCCATCCGATAACCGCCTTCCGGTCGCTCCCGATGTGGCGATGGTATTACACTGTCGGCCCTTTGGCCTGATCTGATCGAGACCTCATCTCGAGCCTCAACCGTCTGGCGACGGGAAGCGAGACGATACCAATGGTCTCGACTACCTACCAAAATGAAGATCAGAGATTCCCTAGCCTCGACCGAACGACTCGGGAGGTGAGACTCTGTCTTAGTAAACAAATCTTACCCGATCTCTGTCCCACACTTACGCGACTACCGTCGCCGGCGAACGCAAGGCCCGAAGGCCTGCGCCTACAAACACTTTAACTTACTGTTGCTTTTGCTAACCGTCACCACTTTATTGATTAAATATATATAAGTATAATAAGGGTTACAATAATAGGTAATACACGTCCTCTCGTCTCGGCGTCTCGAACTTCACTTCTTCTCCAGTCACTCAAGTGACTAGGGAACAGAATGCTCGGCACATTTCCCGAGTCGGCGCTCTAATCATACCAATCATATACTACTTATTAGTGACACAACTATATAAACTACTCTCTTATTGGCTATTACTGTCTCAGCCTAGTTAATACGTACCGGTTGTCATTAAACTAGTTATTGCCTTAAAATAATGCAATCAAGGTTTCTAATGCTATAAGGCATATGTAGTATACTGTATGCTATAGTGTTATTTACTAGTTATTATAATATAGTGTCAATTAATACAATAGTAATGTATTAGTATCGTTAGTGCCGCTAATGCTGAAATATACTGCTATGTATTATAATGCTATGCTGTATACACTACTGTGTATTAAAGAGCTATGCTCAATACACCGCTATGTATTATGATGCTATACTGTATACACTACTGTGTATTACAAAGCTATGCTCAATACACTGCTATGTATTATGATGATATGCTTCGTACCTCACTATATAACTTCATATGTATATGAAGCCTAAAGTTATGAAGCTATGAAGCTTTAAGGCCTCTACTGAGGCTTAATCTCCGTCAAACGTGACAACTACCCTCCCTTTCAAAGAAATCTCGTCCCGAGATTAGAGAATGTGTGCACAGGTATAAAATCAATATAAAATATTTAAACAATTGCATGCAATATTAGACAAAAATTATAAAATTAAAAATGTAAAAGTTGAAACATTAAGGCGTGAACGTTGCCCCACGTATTATAATGGTGCTTTAGATTCTTCCTTGTTCGGTACTGCTTCGGTTGTCGACTCCATATCCACTGATACGTCGTCTTCAAATTGTGGCCAAATATCGTCGTCATCAATGTTAAACTCATAATAAGGCTTTATACGATCGATTGTTGACTGTATCTCAGTACCTGTGTTTACATCCTTTAACCAATACGTGTCATTGAACTTATTTATCACTTTTAAAGGGCCCACAAAGGGATTAATAAGTCGTTCACTTAGGCCAACTTTTCTTATTTTTCTGTAGACTAACACCAAATCTCCGATTTGATACTCCATAGATCTATGTCTTTTGTCGTAATTCTTCTTTTGTCTCATCTGTGCCTCAATCATGTTTTGTTTAACTAATACTTTTGCTTCTGCAAATTTGTTAAACACATCAATTTCATTGATTTTATTTAATTCAATGTCTAAAGTAACGTCCAACGGAAGCTTTGGATGTCTTCCGTAAAGCATATAAAAGGGGCTAAACTGAGTAGTTTCTTGTTTTGCGGTGTTTAACGCAAACACCAAATAAGGTAAAAATATATCCCAATCTTTATAATTAGAGCTACAATATAAAGCCATCATATCTGTTAATGTTTTACATTGTTTTTCGGCTAATCCATTACATTGTGGATGATATGGCGATGTCATAACGTGTTTTGTGTTAAAAACTTTGAGAATTTCTTCAGTAAGTTCAGAACAAAAACTAAGACCTCTGTCCGTTAAACACGTAGTGATGGCGCCGTGTCTTAATACACCAGAATGAATAAAAAAATCTGCGACCACGGCCGCTTTCGAATCGGGTACAGCTTTTGCTTCGACCCACTTAGTATAATGATCTACTAAAATAATTAAGTATTTGTTTCCATTATATGACTTTGGTGATATTGGACCCATAAAGTCTAATCCTACCCTCTCAAAAGGTTTGCTTGTAGTTATTGAATGGAGTGTACCTTTAGGTAAACCATAATCTCTTTTACGTGATTGGCATTCGGCACATCCCCTGATAAAACGGAAAACGATTTTCTTCATGTTCGGAAAATAAAATCTATTCATAACTTTGTCGAATGTTTTATTTAGTCCTAAATGGCCAGAAGTCACGTCACTATGCAATGAATACAAGACATCATCAATCATATGCTTTGGTAAGCAGACTCTGCGTCTTTCCTGGCCAGTAATGTCCGAATCAACATAGTAGATAATGTTGTCTTCAATTATGTATTTTACAGTTTTATTTGTATTAATTTCTTTATATAGTTCACGACACCAACGGTCTTTTTTCTGCTCATCACCGATGTTTACTGCGGTTTGATAAAATGTCACATCAGTGTTTAGGTCTACT